TGGGCCCCCCTCACCGGGGCTCCGTCCCCACCTCCTGAGAGGCTGCGGTCTCTGGCTGTGGGCCCTCGGCCGTCTAGGGCACGCCTGACGGGGGTCGGGATCGGCGGAGAGGCTGGGCAGCGACAGGGGGCCGCAGGCCTCAGCCACCCCGCCTGGCTTCCAGGTCCTTGCTTTGGACCCCAGCTCCCGCCCCCCAGCCCCGCGGGAATCACGCACAGCGGCCGCCAGAACTTCCCTGGTTAGGGCAGTGCCAGGCTCTTTATTTCTGCTAATTTTTCTTTAGTTTTTGAAAGAAGTCTTGAAGGAGGAAACAGACAGGACAGACTCCATCTTGAAAGCAGGACTCCATCTTGGGCCCGACTCCGGACTGTGAGCTCTATGCCCGGCGTCTATGGAAAGGGCAAACCAGCTGGAAAACCAGACCACCCACCCCCTCCCATGGAAGAGCCCCAGGGCTCAAAGCTAGACGCTCCATCACCTGAAAGAATAGCCTAATTATCTGTGTGACTGAATAGAATCATACATTCTATTATGCTTACTAGGGTATGACCACAGGCCTATTGATGACTGTCCACTGTTAGCTACTTAGGCTTAAGGCCTACGAATCACGTGTTTAAGGCCCAAGAATCACAGGTTAACTTTGATTGTATCTTTCTTTTCCTTTGTTCAGACTAGTTTCAGAGAATTTGGGGAGGTGGGTTTGAGCACAGACACTTAGGGTATATAAGGTTTTCACAAAAACTGGTGGGGTCCTTGGCTAAGAGGAGACTCTGCCTTGGGCCCACCAGTGTGATAAACTGCACTCCACGGTCTGCATTGTCCTTCTGAGTGAGTTTCTTTACCGGAACGCACGGCTACAACAGTCTCGTCCAACCAAAACACAGCGCTGCTTAACCACTGGAAGCAGTTTCATTGTCTTCATTGTGTGGCCTCTGAAACAGCTCCCAGCAAAGGCGCAGAGAGGAAGGCCGTCCCTCAGCCTGCCTCCGCCCCCAGGGGCACTGGACCCCTCGCCTTCTCATTTATCCCTTTTGGCCTTCTGGCTATACCTTGCAGGGTGATTCTGTTGGCAGTTATTCACATGTCTTAAGCCTCTGTCTGTTGCCATCTCACAAAAGCTAAGAGCCTCACGGCAGTGTGGCTCCAAGTCTCACGTCTATAAACTCCACAAGGCAGCTCCCAGGCCGGGTTCCCCAGAAGCAGATGCTGGGAAGGGGTTTGCGTGTTTGGGGGCTCAGGATTTGTTGGAGACACACCAGGAGAGGGCACGGAGACAGCAGAGTTGGGCAGGATGGGGGTCCCTGGGGCTGCCTCGGAACGGCACTCCCCCTCTCCAGAGCCATGGGCTGTTCTCTGCCTGCGTGCTCACTCCCCTTCCCCTCTGAGGTGCCTTGTTGGTCAAGGCCCTCGGTATTTTTTTCCAAGTGGTACCTGGGGGGTCAGGCATTGCTCTTCCTTTATTTTGCCTTCTGTTCCATGGTGGGATGATTTCTCTGCCTTCTGGCTCTCTTGCCTTTAGCTGCAGTTAAGCCCATCAGTGAAATGTTCATTTCACATGTTGTGATGTTTCTGTGGCGACCTTCGCTTGTGTCTGGCTCTGCTGGGGCCGTCCAAGGATGCCTCCATCCACCGTCTCCTGGGAGGCGTAGAAGGGTAAGACCCTCCTGTGAGGACGAGGCTCTGCTAACAGAACCCGGGGAGGCATGAGACACCCTTGGTGGTCACCCTCTGCCAGCGCCTGAGGCCTCAGGATGACCTGGGCGGGCTCAGGCAGCCCCTCCAGCAATGCCCTGCTGTTTTAGGCATCATTCTGCGAGTGTCTTTCAAAGCTGCAGCCCAGCCTGCACACGTGGGCTAGGAGGGACTGGAGAAGACACGGCTGCAGGTGGGGGCACTCGAGGGAGCTGGGCTGTGGCCTCAGTGCAGGGGGCCCTCAGTGTGGGGGGCCCTCAGTGCAGGGGGCCTCAGTGCAGGGGGGGCTCAGTGCAGGGGGGCCTCAGTGCAGGGGGGCCTTAGTGCAGTGGGGGGCTCAGTGCAGGGGGGCCTCAGTGCAGGGGGGCCTTAGTGCAGTGGGGGGCTCAGTGCAGGGGGGCCTCAGTGCAGGGGGGCCTTAGTGCAGTGGGGGGCTCAGTGCAGGGGGGCCTCAGTGCAGGGGGGCCTTAGTGCAGTGGGGGGCTCAGTGCAGGGGGGCCTCAGTGCAGGGGGGCCTTAGTGCAGTGGGGGGCTCAGTGCAGGGGGGCCTCAGTGCAGGGGGGCCTTAGTGCAGTGGGGGGCTCAGTGCAGGGGGGCCTCAGTGCAGGGGGGCCTTAGTGCAGTGGGGGGCTCAGTGCAGGGGGGCCTCAGTGCAGGGGGGCCTTAGTGCAGTGGGGGGCTCAGTGCAGGGGGGCCTCAGTGCAGGGGGGCCTTAGTGCAGTGGGGGGCTCAGTGCAGGGGGGCCTCAGTGCAGGGGGGCCTTAGTGCAGTGGGGGGCTCAGTGCAGGGGGGCCTCAGTGCAGGGGGGCCTTAGTGCAGTGGGGGGCTCAGTGCAGGGGGGCCTCAGTGCAGGGGGGCCTTAGTGCAGTGGGGGGCTCAGTGCAGGGGGGCCTTACTGCAGGGCTGGGGCCTTAGAGCAGGGGGGACCTTTGTGCAGGGCCGGGGCCTTAGTGCAGGGATAGGGCTGAGGCAAATTGCACCGCTAGACTCACACACACTGGCGTTGGCCGACTAGACCCTCTGAGGGTGATGAGCCCAAGTGGGCGGAGAAGCAGAGTCAGCCTCTCCCAGGGGGATGGTGAAGGCCTGTTCATCCCGGAATGGCTGGGGGTCCTGACCCAGGCCGCAGTCCCTTGTCCTGGCCGCTCTGGGCTCTGCCTTCTCGTCCACAGATGGTGCTGCCCCGAGTGGGGCTCCTTTGCTAGAGGCCCCCGAGTCCCCCAACATAGCACCCTGGTCCCCCCACCCTAGTCAAAAGTAACCTGAGAGGATCCTGGCGGGGAGGGCAGGGCTTTGTTTTGGGGTGTGTGAGCAGGAGGTGGGCTGTGTCGTTACACAGACACCCCCACACCTGGCTTTTGGAGCCTCAGGCCTCACGTGGTCAAGTTCCAGCTTCTGTGCTCTTCCCTGTCACCCATCCTCGGGTCGGATCTCCTGGGGGGTGGGGGGGGAGGCCCTCAGGACAGGGGAGGAGGGGTCTGTGCAGGTGGAGAGGGGTCCCTGGGCTCATGCTGCGGGAGAGGGCCAGGCTGAGTCTGAGGGGCGGGCTCGGGAGGCGTGCCTGCCTGCTGAGGGGCTGTGGTCCGTTGCATCCTCTCCCGTTTGTGCATAAGATTAATCACTGTTGTTTATGGATTTTATGAAGTGAAGTGAAAGTCGCTCAGTCGTGTCTGACTTTGAAATACCATAGACTAGTCCATGGAACTCTCCAGGCCAGAATACTGGAGTGGGTAGCCTCTCCCTTCTGCAGGGAATCTTCCCGACCCAGGGTTGGAACCCAGGTGTCCTGCATTGCAGGCGGATTCTTTACCAGCTGAACCACCAGGGAAGCCCAGGGGTTTTCTTTCTTTATTTTTTAGCCCAGGGGTTTTCTAAGACATGCTTCTGATCGATTGCCCATGAAGGGTGAAGTGTGTGTGACACAGGCCTGGCCACCACTGATGCGCCTGCAGCCTGCGGCCTCCAGGGAGGGGTGTCCAGGAACTGAATCAGACCGGTGCTGCCTCCCCATGTCCTTGGCAGGCATGTGGATCTGCGGGCGGCCCCCTGGCCCCGCTCAGCCGCCCACGGTGACCATCCAGGTGGGCGACACCCACCCCGCCCCCACCCTCCCGGCTTCACGCCTGGGCCTCCCCTGACCCTGGCGGCCTCAGCAGCCACATTCAGGAAGTTCTCTCCCGGCCACTTCCACCCTGGGTTCTAACCCGTTTCCCCACCTGAGGCTACAGAGGGTACGACTAGTTGGTACAGCTGTTTCTGTAACCATCACAAACTTAGACACTTTAAGCAGCTCAGATGAACTTCCTTCCAGCTCTGGAGCGGGTCTCCAGCTGAAATTGAGGTGCCTCAGGGCCGTGTTTAGATTCCAGGGGCTGCGAACCCCTTGTTGTGGTCCCTCTGCTGTTTCCACCTCTCATCTTCTCTGACTCTGACCTTCCTACCTCTGAGAGGGTTAATAGTCAGGTAGGAAGGCCAGAGGTCTCAAGCAGCAGGAGGAAATAAACTGCAAGTGGAAGACTTTTTTCTTTCCCTCCTCTATACAGAATTAAAGGAGGCTTCTTTTAATTCTGTGTTTCCATGACCACACTTAGTTCTGCTTGAACTTAACTTTGCACTGTTCATGCCTCAGTAAACTGATGCATTTTTCTTGTGTGTGTGTGTGTGTTAGTTGTTCAGTTGTGTCTGACTCGGTGACCCCACGGACTGTACCCCGCCAGGTTCCTCTGTCTGTGGAATTTCCCAGGCAAGAATACTGGAGTGGGTTGCCATTTCCTTCTCCAGGGGATCTTCCTGACCCAGGGATCAAACCCAGGTCTCCTGCATTGCAGGTAGATGCTTTACTGTCTGAGCCTAAGCTATGTTAATGAAGCTATGTATTTGCTTTGGAATCTGCCTTTCTTTAAATCTGTTCTCCCTAAGACTAACCTTTTTCTCAAAGCTTGAGTTGATAGTGGCTCAGCAAACCAGTGCGTCTTACACTCCTGGAAATGTTTTCTTAAACTATGTTAATGAAACTATGTATTTGTTGGAAATCTGCCTTTCTTCAAGATTCATGTCAATTGTTTTATGGCCGAAGATGACTCCCCTTGTGCCATTTTAGCTCAAAATGCATGTTGTGGCAGAGGGACCCGGGGCAACTGTTTCAGTCTTGAGGTGTTTGATGTATCTGACTAGCAGCTTGCTAGCATGTATAAAATGCCTTGCTAAAAACTAGCGAGGGGGCACTCTTTCTGTCCCCTTCTGATGTCTATATCTCAAAAGCTTTCTCTGTCTCCTTTATGCTTCAATAAAACTCTGCTACACAAAAGTTCTGAGTTATTAAGCCTTGTTTCTGGCTCCAGATCCAAACCGTCTCCTCCGGAGGTCGCCAGTCCTGGCTCAGCCCATGGCTCACAGTTGCGACCTTTCACTTCCCAGCTTTTCCCAGCTATATTGAGATATAATCAATACAACAGGTTGTGTAAACGTACAGTGGTGATTTGATGCATGTACATGTCATGAAAAGATTTCATGATAAGGTTAGCTACCATCTTCATCACCTCGTGTAGGTACCTTTTGTGTGTGTGTGTGTGTGTGTGTGGGATAACATTTAAGACCCACTTTCTCCACAGCTTCCAAGCACACAGTGCAGTCCTATAACTAGAGTCCCCAGCCTGGGCATCAGTCCCAGAGGTTCTGAAGTTAGAGCCGGAATTTGTATCCTTGACCCACATGTCCCTGCTCCCCCTGCCCCTCCCAGCAGCTGGTAACACCATTGACTCTCTCTATCATTTTCCACTCTACTCCACACATCAGTGAGGTCCTAGGGCTCCTGTCTTTCTCTGTCTGGCTTTGTTGTAGTTGTTCAGTCGCTCAGCTGTGTCCGACTCTTTGTGACCTCATGGACGGCAACACTCCCGGCCTCCCCCTCCTTCACCATCTCCTGGAGTTTGCTCAAACTCTTGTCCATTGAGTCAGTGATGCCATCCAACCATCTCCTCCTCTGTCTGGCTTATTTCAGTTTAATTTTGTCAAGGTCCAGCCCTGTCATCACAAATGGCAGGATTTCCTTCTCATGGCTGAAGAGTTGTGTATGTATATACACCACGTCTTCTCTACCCATCCATGCATCTACAGGCCCTTTGCTGTTTTGTGAATGATGCTGCGGTGCACAAGGGTGCAGGCCTTCTGAGCCAGTCAGCTGCCCCCTCCTACAAGGACCCATGTGCTGACGCTGGTCCTTCCGGAATGATGCCCTATTTCAAAACCCCTAACTTAACTCCCTCTGAGAAGTTGCTGGGTATGAAGGTCACATGCTCACAGGTTCTGGGATCAGGACGTGGACACTGAGGGGGGCATCGTCCCACTGACCACGGTACGGCTCAGGTGGCCCCGAGCATTCTGCACAAAGTCTCTGTCTCCCCAGGAGGAGAAAAGTCTGCTTACAGCGCTGGGTGGTGTCCTAGACCGGGTTTAAATTCATCCTGCTCACATGGCCTTCTCTCGGCGGGGACCACTGCCCTGTAGCCCAGCCCTGTCACGCACTGCTCCCTGGGTGGGGCCAGGGCGGGGCTGCCCCCCCATTGTCCCTCTCAGACTCTCATCCTGGGCTAGGCCTGTCCTCTGCACAAGGGTGGGTCCTGGCCCCTTGCTCACCCCGCTGTGTCCACAGATGCCCCTGGGGTCTTGGCCGAGGCCCCACGTCTCCCCTGCCCAGTCCTGCTGACCTCTTGCCTTCTTGGGGCCCCTGGCAAGCGCCCTGCACCCCACTCTGATGGCCCCCCGTCTGCCCCTGGGGCCTGCTGCCAAGGCCCTGGGACCCATTTCCTCCTAGGAGCGGGGGCCCCACAAGGGCTTGCCCTGGGCTGGGGTCCCAGAGGGAGTGCTGGTGGGGGGCGGGGGAGAACACGTGGGTTTGCGGCTGCCCTGGTGGCTGGATGGGGCCCCATCAGTCCGAGGCCGACCTCCCTCTCTGGCCTGGGTGGGGGGGCCCACGGGCCACCCAGCTGTCCCAGGCGTGGGTCAGGTCCCCCAGGGAGGAGAGGGACAGCAGATCCCAGTGGACAACACTCGAGACTGGGAAGCCCAGAACCCTGGGTGGGAGAAGTCCCTTGCCTCCACCAGGACCCAGCACGTGCCTCCCTGGGGGCAGCGTGCCCCCTCAGATGGGCTGTCTCCCTGCCCTAAGCCTTTGCTATCGGGATGAAATTCCTGTTCAGTAAAGCGCGTGTCCCCAGAGCCCAGCTGAGGACTGTGTTGCGTAACCTCCACCCAAACCAGACCCGGGGTGTCCCCACCGCATGTGGCCCCCAGGCTCCTTGGCGCTGGCTCCCTGCCCAGAGGGGACCAGGGTCCCACTTCCGCAAGGAAGGGCTGTGCCCCTTCTGGGATGTCACCCATGTCACCTGCAGCATGGGCACGTCTTCGTCACATCCCTGCCTCCTTTCACCACACCTGCTGCTTTCGAGGTTGACCCGCATTGGTACACGTATGAGCCGTTTGCTCCTGTTTGTTTCTATTATTTTACTATTGGAAGTACCACGATTTGTTTATTCATTTTCTGTTCTGGGGCAGCTATGGTGAATACCAGTTTAGTACCCTTTGCTGTTCCAGAAAGCAAGGGACATTTCAAAGATTAATGGAGTTCCATCAAAAAGAAGCCAGTTTGAAAAGGATCTCACTGGTCAGATCGGTGAGAATTTAGGCATTGGGAAGAGTGATGCTCAGAGTTGATTGACTGCATCCAGTTTATTTAAATCCATGAATCCGTGGTGATAGTCAAACAAGAGAAAGCATGAGAAGGGATACAGTGCAGAAATTAAACCGACTCTTTCTTTTGATGATTGGTTTCAAAGGGACCATGAAACATTGCCCTGCTTTCTGCTCCACTAGACTCAGTGTAAGTAAATCACTCCAGTCATGAGGAAGACCCACTTGAAAAAGGGAAACTGTCTAATGAGCATGGAAGGGGTGACAGATTAGAGAGTCCCCAGTATCAGCTGCTGGAAGTGATGAATGAGCAGCCCAGTGAGGGCGGTTGGGACAGGGACAGTCCCCAGGGCGCTGGTTTCCCCGAGAGCCATGGGAGGGGACCTGTTTGATGTGAGTCTCATTCACACAAACCTGCTGTCCCAAGAACCGGGGACAGTCAAAAAGGGACTTGGCATTAGCTGGTTTTCAAGAGTCTATACTTTTCTCTTAAGTATACTAACTTAATTTTGACTAGGCTGGGAAATACTCTTATCGTTAAAGATGAATGCTGAGGGAAGAGACACGGGATGCAGCCGGCCACCTCTAGGAAGCCTTCCTCCTGTAATTGGCCCTGCTCTTGGTTTGCCAGGTCCCAGCATCACCACCCCATCCAGGGGACCCTCCTCCAGGAAGCCCCCAGGGTGCCACCCAGGGATCTAAAAGTCAAAGGCCAGCTCCGTGTGAGTGCTTTGCTTCCCAGGTCGGCAGCCCCTCAAACCCTCTCCTGCATTCCCAGGCCCAAACAGCTCTGAAAAGCACGAGTTTTCTTTGTAACTCACGTGGCAGCAAGACCCTCTCGTTGTACTGAGAGGGAGTTGTAGAAACATGACCGAGGCGTCAGGGGGTTTCTGGGCTGAGGGTTGTGGTCCTGCCAGAACGGGGAAAGCTCCGAGACCCCACAGGCCGGGCAAGGAGCCCAGGGACGAGGACCAGCCCTGCGGAGGGAGGCCCGGCCCCCGGGGCTCTGCCTGGCAGTCCCTTACTCCCCAACCCAACTCGGCTCTGGAGGACGAGCAGCCATGGACTTGGGGCCGCGGTGACTACACAGACTGTGCGGTTCTGCTCACCATCGTTGAATCCGGCAAACCCGTCCGTGGTTTAGCAGAGCAAAGCTCAGTTAGCTAGCGGGTGCCGCCCCCTTGTGTTCCGATAAGTCAGAGCTGAGCAGCGATGCCGCTTTCGGGAGAGCTGACGGCCCAGTGCAGGCGCCCGGCTCCCCGAGGGCGGCAGGAGCTGCACAGACCCCCCTGCAGCCGACGTCGGCACCCACACGACAGCAGACGAGCCCTGACTCTGGGCCGCCCCCGGGGTCCAGGCAGCCCGAGGGGACGCCGAGCGCTTGGGCCGCATGGCCTTCCTCCATCGCCCCAGGGCCTGGGGAAGGGCCAGGCCTTGTGGATGGAAGAGACTCGCTCTCTGTCTCCTCCAGGCATTGCCCCATTTCTCTTGTGTCTCAAAATCTCCTCCAGAAGAAAAAGAGTAGCTAATTGAAATCCAGCCCCTAAATATGCTCTGCACATAGGGAAAATTGCAAAAGGGCAGGGCGTGAGGAGGGCTCGGTCCTGAGTGCCCAGGTGGGGCCCCGCCCTGTTCCTCGGTCCTGCCCTGCATGAAGCACCTTCTGGTCTCCGGGCGTAGCTCAGCTTTGCCCAGACAAAGATCAGTGACGGAGAAGCTGTGGCTGTTGAAGAGCCCTGTCTCCAGGCCACCCTGGCTTCTGTCACGAGGAGGAAGGTCAGCGGGTGACCGCAGCATGGCAGGCCCTGAGGACGGGGTTCCACACCAACACGCCGTCCCCTAAACGGTCCAAACAGACGTCTCTGTTTATCCGTGTTGACAGCATCATCAGATGAAATTACCCTGCAGCAGCTTGGGGCTTTTCAAGTCTTAGTGACGGACTTCTATTCTCCAGCTATTTTTAGGGCTATTAATCACCACATTCCCTGCGTGTTCATCAGTGGAATGTCCTGGGTCAGGAGCTCTGATGGACAGCTTGCAGGGTGACCCAAGAACGTGTGTTTGCAGGTTGGTGTTGCACCGGACCTTCGCTGAGTCCTCTCCACTGGGCCATTTGGCAAGTCGAGGACCCAAGTTTTGTGTCAGGTTCTGGACCTTTTCTGCTGGATATTCGCTTGTGGTCCAGTCTACTGTGGATACCTCTGGAAATGCCCTGGATGTCATGTGGCCATTTGTATTGGCATTTTTTTCCTTTGGTTAAGCCTCTGGAGAAGCTCTGAGAACCCCTTGCCCTCCTTGCCAACTGGATCGGGGGTCAGAACAAAGCAGAACCCAAACCCAACTGTTATGGAGTCCAAACCTGTGCTGCTTGCTGCACAATAGCCCAATAAAAGGGGAGATGAGCTGTGGCACAGAATAGTGACTTTATTCAGAAAGCCAGCAGTTGGAGACAATGGCAGACCAGTGTCCCAAAGAGCCATCTTGGCCGACTTAGAATTCAGTCTCCTTTTATACTGAAAGGGGGACGGGGTTTGGCTGTTTGTGGTGAACTTCTTGATATGGGAATCCTTTGTTCTCGCAGCTGTCCACGTAGGTCAGGTCACGATGTTCCTGTAAATCTCCAGTGGGAAAATGTTATTCTCTGGTCTGCAACTCTTTATCTCTGTATGAATCAGAAAGTGTTACGCCTGTAAAGGTCTGAGCCTTGAGAACATGCTGACCTGTGTATTTCAAGCCACAGCCAACATTGCTAACTCACAGCAAAGGCGCCGGAACACAAAGGTTAAAGACCCGAGGTGGAGTCCGATCCGTCCTCTACGTTACACGATCTGCAGACGACACAGCTGGGCCCCAGCCCCATCCCAGCAGTCCCGCCCTGCCAGCGAGGCACCGTGGTGGTTCCCACTGGGGGCCGTGTGGAGGGGGCACAGCCCTTGGCGGGCATCCGGCTCGCTCCAGGTCCTTCTGTCTCAGCCCGGCCTCTGCTGCGGGCTCAAGGCCCTGCTCCCCTGGGGACCCGGGGAGGTCACAGCCCCCGCTGGGGGGACGGGGCAGGGGTGGGACCGAAACACCGAGTCCCAGCCCTATCAGCCTCTGCAGCCTCCGGAGACTGGGCCCCCAAACCCAAGTGAGCATGAGGCTGCACAGCTTCCTGAGATGATGTGGTGGTGAGTGAGGACTTTAAAGGGACTTGGGGAACACACGGCTTTACACAGCTTCACATCAGGCACTGTCCTCAGGCTGAGCTTTTGCAGACGTTTTGATCAAAGGTGAATTAAATTGTGTTTAAATTTGCCCAAGTCCCCACAGCCCCGCAGTTTCTAACTTGCTGTGTTACTGGCATCAGGTTCACTTTTAGTGTGTGTACATTTTACAGATATGAGGAAAAATGCGCACAAAACATCCACTCATCTGAGATTTTATTGGGCGCTTACATCGCGCTAGAGACGCAAAACCACGCGGGGGCTGGGCTGCCGCAAGGGCGGCTAGGGCGGCACGGGCAGCGGGGCGCTGCCGCTCTCAGGCCGCTGGATGGTCGCCGGCGCCCAGGGTGGGGGTGCAGGGCGGGGCTGGCCGCGGGGGCGCCTCCTGGGAGGTCTGCAGCATCTGATTCCTCCTCTCCAGCTGCCGAGCCCACTCGCCGCGGAGCCTGGGGGCAGCCGTTTGGGCTTGGTGAGGACCCGGCACGCTGGGCTGCCCGGGCCCGCCCGTCTCCGAGAGCCCCGCCTGCCCGCCGGGAAGTGCCCCGTGGGCTCCTCCCAGAGGGGAAGGTGGCTGGGGACAGGCTGGTCACTGCAGGACCAGAGGTTGGGACGCAGCGCTC